AGAGTGCAAAACAAAAACAGAAAATAACTTACTGAGGTAACTTACTGAAGGGGAAAAAATAACTTACTGAGGTAACTTACTGAAGGGGAAAAAATAACTTACTGAGGTAACTTACTGAAGGGGAAAAAATATCTTACTGAGGTAACTTACTGAAGGGGAAAAAATAACTTACTGAGGTAACTTTATGAAGGGGTAGGTAGGTAGTGTGAGGTGATATTGAGAGAAGAATGTAACTTACTGAAGGGGAAAAAAAAAAAAAAGAAAAAAAAAAAGGGAGGGACGTAAATAACGTGGAGTAAGATAGAGGGAGGCAAATAGAGCGAGCACGTAAAAGACAAAGCTTGGGTAACGACGAACACGGTTGAAAAAAAGGAGGAAAAAAAAAGAAAAACAGAAGAAAAAGAAAAAAAGAATTCGGAGCTCGAGAACAAAGCGAGCGGGGAGGAGAAAAAGAGAGAGGGGTTAGTCAACAAGAAGTGTAAAAAAAAAAAAAAAATAATAATTAAAAAAAAGAAGTGTAGGTGTGACAGGTACACGAGATATTTGCTGCATGTGCGACACGAGATGTGTGTGGCAAACGTCACATCAACGAGATATGTGGGGGATGTGCGACACATGTGTGACACATTTCAATGGCGTCTCGCTTATGCCGCACATGAAGGGCCTCTCCACGCCACTGTTGAAACGAAAAACGAACAATGCTTCTTCCCGATGAGAATGGCAATCCGTTACTATGAATAGCAATGCATGCATCTTACCTCCCTTTTTTTTTTTTTTTTTTTGGTGGTCCGATGGGGGAGACGGATCAGGTATTAAACTGATTAGAACAGATACTGCACTTGATCTTAGCCAACAGGGCAAGAAAGGTGTATAAAAAAAAGAAAAAAAAAAAAGAAAAAAAAAAAAGAAAGGTATCTTACTGCTTTCTGTGGAAAAGATGAACTCCTCCTTTGGTGTGGCCAGGCCCGAAGATTGTGTGACAAGGGGGGATAGTCATGGAGAGCCGTGTGTGACAGGTGGTGCAGGTCACATACAATACAACAAGTATGGGCCTCGCTCCAGCACTCGTCACAAGAAAAAAAGACAAAAAATATGCCTGTGTATCTTCCCCTGTTATAGTAGAAAATTCGTTCTCATTTTGCTTATTGGGTGAGTGGTGGAGAGAGGTCCGACCGACGTGCGACATGCGATTGTGCGGCATGCGCTCAGCCACAGATGGCACTGCTGTTTTTTTTTTTATTAAAAAAAAAGAGCTTTTTCTCTTTCTTTCTTCAAAGAGCTACGGCCTTGAGAAGATACGATAGTCCCCTCCCCCAAAAAATAATTAAAAAATACATGGTCGTCGAACGGACCGGCGTGACTGAATTCAATTCAGAAATTGCGCCTCGCTCCACCACTCACCACCAGACGTGCAAAATGAGAATGTATCTTCCGCTAGAACGTTGAAAGATACACTGACATATTGTTTGTCTTTTGTGTAGTACATGTGATGCGTAGTGTCGACTGAGGCCCTTTCATTCATGTACTATTTGCATTTGGAATCGAACGCGGGGGTCGCTGTCCCAATACAGAGGTGGAATTTTAAGTTGTACATTTTTGAATGCTGGCCAGTAAAATGAAGAAAAAAGATGTGATAAGTTTTCAGCCAATATGAGTTGGTGAAACTCCGACGGAACAGTCCCTCACAGCCCCTCGGTTGTTGTCCTCTTCTCCCTCTCTGCCTACGGTTTACCTGGCAGCTCTGTTTGTAGGGTTGTCGGCGTTCGGGTTTGGCCGAACTCCCGAACCCGAACGTGCCGAACGTTCGGACCCCCTTGAGGATGCGTTTGGCCGTTCGGACCGAACGCGGACCTAAAAAAAATGAAAAAAATAAAAAAATAAAATTCTAAAATTCTGAAAAATATATATGTTATGCAGAAAACTAAAATGAACAACATTTGCCTCAGCGTTACATCCGAATTCCTTACCAAATTTGAAATAAAAATAAAATACGAAAAACAAATAATAATAGGAAGAAGAAAAAATAAAAAGAGAATTAAAATTAGTGAGTGGGCGAGCACGTTTTCGACACCGCCATCTTTGGCGACTGCGAGTCCAATTAATGGGGAACGGAGGGATTTAAGTTGACCTCGGGACCCCTGTTGAATCCCATTTAACGGAAAAATGGGGAAAAATAGGGGTGTCCCGTTGAATTCCAAAAAACGGAATTGGCGCGTTGGGCCTCGGACACGTGGCCCTACGCGCCCAAACACTCAAACCAGAAAAAAAATAAAAAATCGACCCCCCCCTTTACACCTTCTACGGCCCCACCCGTTGGCCTTTAATGATGCCCCTAGCCCCCAGAACCCCAAAACAGACCCCCACAAGTGCCACGACCACCCAACC